TGATAAGTTATATTATCTTCAGCAGCTCAATTAAATCAAGGAGTGAGACACAGAGCAGACGTAACTCGGCAAAATAAACAGACAACTTGAGTCAGCCTTCATAATTTGGCGCGACATCACGTAAATAAATGCAATAACTTGTTTAGCATAGTTAAGCAGTTTGCTGCTCAAAAACTTATTTGCATGACATCTCATTTTGAATAGGTTAAGTTGTGGCAAATTAGGACTTTGTCTTCAGTTTGATGTACTCCAAAGAAGGGAGAGAAAAAAATCCTCCACCAGAAATATGCAGTTTGTAAATTCTACATTTGTTTTCTATAGCAACTACTTGGAACATATGGATTCCGTGTTTAAATGATTCTTTTTCCATACCATTGCTGTCATGAGACAGCTTCAGCCCTGTGTAATTGGTCTTAATTTTGGCTGTGACTCTTCCATTACTTCTTAGACTGTTCTCCCTAACATACACAAGTGTATAACCAGGTTGCAGTCCTTCATATTAGAAGGGGATAAGGCTGTTGTTCTTGCTGTATTTCAATGTGGATGTTTGATTTCAGTTTCTAAAATTGTGTGGAGTCCTTGGTTGCGGGAAGTGGGCTGCACTCACTTTGGTGTGGGTGTGAAGACTGAAAGTACTCAATTATGCTGTAGTATCTAATTTGAAAAAGATGCATTCTTTATTACATGTGCCTATTTCACACATCTGTGCTGTGAAGCACATAGTTTGGGGCTCATTGCTGAGTTTTATTGCTTATTGGGAGTTTTTAGATACCTTCTAATTGGGAGGGAGTAACAATTTCAAGAAACGGCTGTATTTTGTAATGCATGCACCAAAAATTGCCACATATCAGCTGCTCCACATAAGTCCCCATGTGAATGTCATTTTCTTCCTGCTGGTGACCACAAAACAGCAAATCATGAAACAGACACTCAGATGTTTAGTGTGAAAAAGAGTAAACTTATGTCCTGCTGTACCTGCATTGTCTGCTTGTATTCTCTGTTGATATACAACAATGATCTGTTCCTTATTTAAATAAAATGTTTAAGCCACACATGGGCATGTGCAGCAGGTAGACAATCCTGTCTTCCCCAGAATCCAGCTCAAATACCAGCTCTGTTCTAGAAAGGAGATTCGCTGGTACGGTTCTTTCTTGTGGAACACAGTGAAGAGGACAGCGAGCACCTTTGCTGTTTTCTCCATTCCTCACGCCAATCTAGTAATTAAAGTGCTGCAAAGAGCATGAGGTTCCTTCCAAGACCAAAAATGGATGACTCAAAGAGACTGTCTCTTTAGAGCACCACCTGGTGATCCCTGCAGTAATGAGCCATTCACATGCATCAGGTATCTCCGTGATCTCTGTTCAGTCCAGGATTAGAAAATATTAGTCTTTTGGAATCAGAAATGATTAGTCTGAGCATTTTATTAGGTTTTGCAATAATGGAAATTGTCATGTTTCACTTAGAGCTGTCTAAAGATGCAGATGATAGTGCAGCCAGTCTGGTAAATAATTGAGTTCATTGTCTTCTTTCATCTCCACTTCAGATTCTGTTCATACACACTACTTGTTGATAGCACTGTAGCTTGCAAGCGTGGATGCAGGTCCCATCTTTCATTATTACACTCTTGATTAGCAGCTTTGAAGACATACCAAGGTGTGTCGTAGAAACATCTGGTTCATTGTTGCTTTTTTTCTAAACCATCCATTAGTGATTTTTTTTCCTTGTTTACGTGAGGCACAGTTTCAAACTAGACTCTCCAGGCTCACACCTTGCTTCTGTCAAGATGCTGCCAGTAATTGCAGTTGAAGAGGATAGAGCCATGCGTGGAAGTGCTTCACAGCAAAGCTGATGGATGGGTCTGGCAAAAGCCTTGTTTTGTACTTCCCTTCTTGGATCAAGAGCTAAGAAAATCTCTTTAATTTCTTGCTCCGTGAATATAGCAGATGTAATAATATCCTTCTTAGGCAGCCTTTTTGTTGTGAGGGCATGAATGACATTAGTGCTTTTTGCCCTAGGTGCAGTGTTTAAGCTGTCAATAAATAAAAAAAAAAATGATAGATATTTGGATTATTATTTGGATATTATAGTTTCTTACGTAACTCACCTGCCTTTGTGCTTTGATTCAGGCAGGATTTTTCTTTGCTTTCCATGCTTCCCCTCAAAAAGTAACCTTGCCCTTTGTAATCTGAAAAAGAGAAATCTGAGGAAAAATGTAATTTAAAACATTAGGAAATCAGAAAACTGTAAGAAATATGCCACAGAAGGAACTTTGTATAACTGATAGGAGCGTCCTGTGGGATCAGCTTTTCAGTCATAGAAGCTATGGAAGTATATTCCTCAGAATGTAAAACCACTGGTCTTTTGCTTTTTAGTCTTTAGTTAAATTGATAGAATTACTTATCTTTTCCAGTTGGTTTCTGAACTAATTTCAGTTGTGCAGAAGCATTTAAGAAGTCATAATTTCAGCATACCTTCTGTATGGAGAAGGTGGGCTAGGGTATCGTCATGCAGCACTCAGTCCTGATGCAGTGAGGACACATGATGGGAAGTTAAAGGACAAGTAGCTCAGTGACATAATTGAGGCCTTTCCTTCCAGATAGAAATGCAAAATTAGTGCGTTTTGGGCTTCTGCTTTGCAAAAGGGATACTACTTTTCTGTGATGCTAAGCAGAAATCAACATTATGAGATACTGAGCTGAAAATAAGGCTTTTGGCTGAGATCCCTCTCTGGTTTTCACTTGTTAGCCTAAACCTGTACAAAATTATTCGGGATTGATCTTTCATGTCTGTTTCACGTGTGTAGCTTGCAAACAGTAACAGTGGTGAAAATAACAGTATCTCACTCAAGTTTAGCATTTTTCTCCTGCAGATCTCGATTCATTTCACAAAGAGGGACAGATTGTTAAAGGCATTTTCAAGTACAGAGTTGGGAATTTCTCCATGAGGTGTTTCTGAGTGGTAGGGGTGGTTGTTTTTAGTTTGTTTTGATTTGTTTCTTTTCCCATAATGAAATAGCTCAGTTTCTTCTGTGATATGTGCCCTATCAGTGCAGCATGTGTTCAGTGAAATGCAATTTGTTCACCAGCTTACACGCATTTCTTGCCTCCTGGAAACAGTATGTTTGATTGTAGCAGAGCTTACACATGATTTTGTAGAGAGGTTTGAACCAGCTTCTGTTTGCCCTGCAGATGGAGTACTGAAGAAGTAGTATACACTGAGGGATTTGCTGTCAGGCAGTCACTTCTCGGCAGGTCTAAATGAAACCTTCAAAAATGAACCTTTTCCCTTCTGCTTACATGATGCATAAGTCAAGCTGCTGGCCTTATTCATGGGGCGGTTTTTTTTCATAGAAAGACTTAAGATATGGTTTCTTATACTTATTTGCTTGGACTCTTCTCTTTTGTGTATAAACAGAATAGTTTGACTCCTCCAACAACAAGATAATGAGCTGGCAAGAAAAAGTTGCTTTGTTGTGCAGCCTAGGTGAAGCTCTCAGGTGAGGTGGTAGTAGGAGCTATTGTATGTATTTGTAGAGCAGAGGAGAAAATCACATGCACAGTGCCTGTCTACTATTTCAGATTCTGCTGATATTTAAAAATCCATGCCCTGCATGTCAGTCATCTCTTGTTAAAACAAGGCCTCTGACCAAGAGCCTTCTTAGAAGAAGGATTCCAGTAATGTCATTCAAAAGCTCACAGACTAAGAAGTCCTTAAAACCTTGCATAAGAGTGATTTTTTCTTCTATTTATGGTAGAGTTAATATGTATGCAGCTGCTCAGGCACCAGGGGAAAAGAGGAAAAAACGAGATTGTGAGTATTATCATTAATCCAGATGCTTAGAAGTGAGCATGTTTTCCCAAATTATGCTACTGATTCAAAAATAAGGATGTATTTTTAAAATGATACCTTTGGGTTTTGTACCTTCTGGTTAAAATTATCATCATTTTCATGTTTTTCTCAGCTATTTCAAGAATTATAAACCTACTATTTAAAAAGATGTTCACAATTCCTACATATGCTCTTTTCTTTTTGCTTCCTTGAAAGACTTATGCAATATTATTCACATAAATTGAATTCCTTCTTTCCTGTGCCCTCCCTCTGCCTCTGCTAAAATGCTAGAATACTTTAACAGTAGAGCACTTTGAAGGATGATATTGTCAGTTATGATATCAGGTAAGTTTACTAAATGTCTCAAAAAAAAAATAGGGATACAGTGTGTTCATTACAAAGGCAGAGATGAGTGTGGCAGCTTAAAATTGCATTTCTCATGCAGATTTTAAAAGAAAACCTTTATTTTCTCTCAAAATTATGCCAGATTCTTCGGAAGTAAGATTCCATTCTGAGATTTCTACACACTTCCAGTGCTTCCACATTTTCACCTGTATCAGCATCCCAGCCACACCTCAGTCAAGAACAATTCTTCCTATTTTTGTCATCTCAAAGTTGGTCCCCAATTGCTCACTGTGACGCTTCATGATAAACAGAAAGCAAAATTCATAGAAGGGATCAGTGTATTGTGTCAGTTTGGCTCTGTCACTGGTATTTCCTGAGTCTGCTGGCAGGCAAAGATGAAACTCAGTATTAGAAGGCATGGCTGCACTGGCATGTCCCAACAACTGAGCATGAGACTAAGATTAGGATTTTGAATGCAGAACTGAAATTTCACTGAATTTAGATTCAGACAGTTTTGGTGTCCAAGTAGAATCCATTACAGTTTGCAGATGTGAGAGGTAATGTTCTGGGGGTACAAATATGGATAACCTCTGGAATTCCAGCTGTAGTTCATCTCTGACGAACAAATTCATATTAGAAAATCAGAAAGTCTGTGATAGTAATGAGAATTAATTAAAGCAGGATAGTCTGTGCTATACAATTTTTTGTTTCACTTCCAAAATGTATACCACTCCTAGCTTCCAAACTTCGCATTAACATGGTGTGGAAAAGAGCATATCAGCCTTTGTGTATGTTACTTACTGTGTTTCTTCATTTTCCTTTGCCAGCACTTACAGAACCCTGCGAACTTCCATAATGCAGCTACAGAGCTCCTGGACTGGTGTGGTGACCCCAGAGCCTTTCAGAGACCGTTTGAGCAGAGCCTGATGGGTTGTTTGACGGTATGTCCAGTCCGCATGTGGTGGCAGTTCTGACCCCCTGGTTTATAACGCGTGTTGTGGCCAAGGGAATCTGGTTTTCTGAGTCTGAATTTTGTGTCTTTCATCATTTTATCTTTAACACATGAAGGTAGATGCTTACAACTGTTTATTTGAGTCTGTTGCATCACAGGTAGCAAGATTTAGTAGCAAGAAGTTAATTAGATGATAAAATGAGGAAAAAAAATAGTACGTAGTACATACTAGGTTTCCTTACTTGTACGTACAGTATTTATTTTCATGGTTTGAAATTACCAACTGAAATATCTCCCTGTGGAGTTAACAGACTTCACAGGCTTTTATTTTCCTTGCCTCAGCCTTTGGTGTTTTGAAGGTCTACTTATATTCAACCTCAAGCATACAGAACCTCCAGCTGAACAATGTTTCTGCGTGTTTGGTTTGTTGCATGTATGGATTGCAGGTCTAATCCTAGCATAATAATTACAACAATTTTACTGACTTCATTGTTTTTCCTACTATTCATTTCTTATTAAAACTGCTATCGTTCCTAAAGCAACTTGATTATAATGCATGGAAAACATATTTCATTGTGTGCTCAACAGCATTTTTTGTTTTCAGTGCTTTATTTCCCATACATCCAGCAGCAGGTTCCACTCCAAAATTATTATGTTCTGTCAAGGCTTTAGAGGAATTGAACTCTGTCTGTAGTAGGAGTGTTCTAAAGCTTCACTGCGATTTGCAGAACAAGCGGATACAAATAGTTAGGAAGGAGACAGAAACTGTAAAATGATTAATGTAAAGATCATCTTTGTACTTGCTGGGAGGGAGTAAAAGCACATGGATTATTCTCACGCAGTATACAACTGATGCATAAAAAAAGACACTGAGACTTAGATTTAGTTGCAGAAATCCAAATGTTAAGGAATGGCTCCATCTTAGTGTGCTCAAGTGTATAGCATCCTTCAGATTCCTGTGTTGAAAGGTTGGAATAAATCCAGTGATATGAGAAGGTGTGGATTTTATTTATACTTTCTTAAAACTTAGCTAGTATTTTGAGGTTAGCATTCAAGAAAGGAGACACAACACACACAAGTATGTGTAGACAACCTGTACACTATTTCTCTGCAGATTTCTGCTAGAATGCTGTTAATCTGACATGCAATTTCCTTGCTGCTTAAATCTTTTCTTTCTGCATAAACAGACTTGCAGCTCTGCCCAAGTGCAAGGTAAAAATAAGGTCTGACCGCTAGTGATTCACTGTCCTAACAGACCACAAGAGAGAAATAGAAATGTTATATTTCTATCTACAGAATAATAATACATAGTACAATATAATAACAATAATATATCTCTATATTTAATACGCATATTAGAACTTAATCTGTTTCCAGGGAGATTATTTAGAAAGTTGAGAATTAGTGAAACACTAGAATATTGTGAATAAATTTAACATCAACTTCCTTAATGATGTATTCTGTACTATTAAGAGTCTTTTTTTTTTTTAATGCTGACAAAGTTTATCAATGTTTTGCTTTGTGAAGATGATGCTAAAAGAAAAGAAAAATTAAAAAAACCAACAATATGAAGGAGTATTCAACCTAGAACAGGATTATTGTCTTTGCCAGTATTTACAATGACCTTCAAAAATAGCTCCCCTTAATACTCCTATGCTTTTTAAAGCAAGTAGTCTCTACCATCATTATAACATTTGAGTTCCGTGGATTCCCAAGGGCAAGTGCATTTATTCCTGAAATTCTGCAAAAGCTAAAGATGCTTGCTTATAAGGCTCCTCCTCTTTATTGTACAGAAGGATTTTTTTCTCTTATGACACTATTCTGTTAGCTCTCTGATGAGAGAAAAAGCACTATACTAAACTGCTCTTAGATCCATCAAAGGATATGAGAACATAATATCCTACTAGTGGATAATGCAGTATGTACTAATGCATATTGAAATGTATTAGTGTCATGGCTGCAGAAGGGCAAGCTCTTTCAGGAATGAACAAACCATCCATTCACACACATCAAAGTTTAAATGCATCCAGGTGTAAAGCCAGAGCACCAAAACACATCTGTTGTATTGTGAGTAGAGAATTTAATGGTAGCTCTGCAGAGCTACCAGATTATTTGCTTCTTTTGAGTCTATTTGATATTTTTGCAAAAATTAATTCAGTTGAATTTATCTTATTAATTTTTTTAAAAAAGTACTCAGAATCTTGACATTGTGCTTTAATGTAATGAGTGGTTCTTAAATTAATTCTGTTTTTCCTGTGCACCATCTTTCTGTGTTCATTCTTGATAATGTCTGATTCACTTTGTAACAACAGTGTGTTTTCATTCCTGGTGCCAATCTAAGAGAACCTGAAGGGATACAGAAAAAAAAGGTCTTAGAAATATTCTGTGTGGGCATCACCAGCAAAACTTTCAACTTTACTTTTGGAATCACTTCTTTTGATAACAATATATAAAATAGGTTGCTAATGGAGGTTTCCTGTTCTTGACTTGTAATGCAAGCATTTACAGAAATCAGGTTAGCTAAACAGACAGCTTATGTTGAGCAGTAAATAGTTGACTTTTATGTGTCAGCAGTACTTTGATATGACTGGAATTAAAATGGCTGCTATAGGCTCCAGTGATGATCTATGCAATCTAACAGGTGTGGGTTTCCTATCTCAAAAGCAAACTTGGGAGTTGGTACAGCAACTGAGAATTTATCAGATAGACAGATGTGTGTGTGTATGATTGTATTTGCATCACTGTTATGTCTGAAGAATCTGATGGACACTTATTCTAAAGTTTACCTTTTTATGTTTGGCCATAACAGAAAGTCACTGAAATGAGCAGGTAATAGAAGTTCATAAAAAAATTCCGAACATTTTAACAAATAAATAAAATGTCAAGGATGGAGGGATCAGCTTTGAATGTGCTTTCTTTCTTGGAAGTTACAGGCTGCAGAATGATTTCCTTTAACAGCTTTGATGGAGCACATGTAAACAAATTATGCTCTTTCTCAGGGACAGTGAGCTCCTTTCTAGCTTGCCAAGGAAAGCTAGGCGTTAGTTTTCTACAGTGGTCATTTTGAAGACAGATAGAATTGTCTGTTGACAAAAAATGAATAAAAATTGAAATAATTAATTCTGTAACTTATTGAAATTGTAGTGGATATGATTTTTGATATGTGACTTCAACTCTTGCACGGTGGTAGAAGGAGCTGTAAAATAGCCTCCGCTTTCCACAAAGCAAATGTAGCTATAATTTTATTATAATTGAAAGAGTTTCTGATTCTAGAGCTTGTATCTAATGAAGACTTCTGGGATGAGATGATATCATGGTAAGATTAATATTATTGGTAACTTTAGGATTATTGACATTTGAAAACTTGCATATGGCGTTACTTTACTTTTGGCTCACAGAAGTAACTGTGTTCCCATATAGCAATTAATAAACAACTCTAGTTTGGCTGGACAAGGTTGTCTCATTCTTTGCTCCTTTTTTCTCAGATCCACTCTAGTTTCTTCTCACAGGTCTGCTCTTGCCAAACAGTTGGACTTGCAAATGATCTCACTGAGGACATGGTTACCTTTAATGTTTCTGCTGAAGCAAAAACGGAAACCAGAGGACAGCTGAGTGCAAAATGGACAGATTTAAAGACTTGTCTGATGCTGCTTTCAGCAGAGGACAATAAAGGCACTTCTTCAGTCTCTCATCATTCTTGAGAGTTACAACACACAAAAGTTCATCATTTTTAGGACTCTTCAGCAGTGTGCTTGAAAACAAAATACTGGAGAGAGAAGCACAGCTGTGTGCAGTTGCTCTGTAACTGTACGTACAGGGTTAGTCAAATTAAATCCTGACACCAGAATGGCTTTGGATAGTAGAATGAATTTAGGTAAACGGGACATGTTTACCTGAGTTAGCTGTTGGCCTGAGCACTGAGCGTAAGAGAGCTTTTCTTGTGAAAAATGACCACCCTGGTTGGGACATAAGACCTCTTCTTATCTGAAAGTTGACTCTTCCTACCCAGTTTGACCACAAAAAGCTGTGCTGAGATATTCATTAAAAATGTATTTATTTTCTCCACTGTCTTACTGCTCTACATTTCCTCTCTGAATGTTGGGTCTATCTCAGTCATCAAATGTGAGAAATTCATGCATATTTCTTTAAGTGTTTCATCTCTAAGTTGAAAGAAATAAAAACACTCAAAGCTGCAGTCCTAGTTGTACTCAATCCAAAGATCATGGATTTCATTTGAATCTTTTGTATTGGTTCTAGATCTCAGTACTTAAGAGAACTGCTGAAATAACAGGCATCTATGTTTAACCCTTGGAAGTATCTATGATAGGCTCACTTTTGGTGATTGTGATACATTGTACAATAACCTTTTGATCTGTATTTCTCCTTGGAAAATTGTGGAATTTAGATTGTTTAGATTTTTCAGACATTTTTAAAACTAAGTGCTTATGTCAGTTCATCCAATGCAAAATTAAAAAAAGATTTTAAAAAGTAGGACAAAAGCCATATCTTTGAATTATGTCAAGTTTCCACAACAGGATGCCTCAAACAGCAAAACCAACAAAGTCCTGCTAATGTGTTCACAAGGTATCTACTCCTACTTTTTCTTCACACCTGGCTAGATTCATTCTGCTTAATGCAGAAAAGCATATAATCACAGTCAGCATAAAAAATCACTTTTCATAACCATTTAAGATCTGAATCAGAGTAATTGCAGTTGGAAGAGTTGGTTCAGCACAGTCTATACCTAGAAAACACCAGGATGCAGCTGCCCATTAGAGCCCTAGAAGTGTTGCTTTTAGTCTTTGCATCCAGGACTTCCAGAACAAAAAGTTAATGTGGAAGGAATTCTTCTTCCATTGTCCTCTCTCCATGCATTTGTGAAGCACATGTTTTTATCTGCTTTCAGCACACAGCACCTTGGGGCTCTGTACAAGCTGTACTGACGGAGTACAGCCAGCAGGCACAGAACAGTCCTCTCTAGAGCAGCTC